CATTTTTCTTTGCCACTTTTATTATATTAGGTTCTAATTCTAAAACATACACGTTATCTCAGGTTCGTAAAAAGCTAAAAATGTTAGAGAAACATGTCCTAGTAGATCTGACCTCCGCATACATCCGTAATATTTTAATTACTTGATTATCATATCTGCATATAATGTGAGTATAGCAGCATGGTTCAAAAGTCAATCATAATTAAGCAAAAGAAATATTCATTAGCAGTCGACTGATTTTTTTCAATGGTTCTTTATCATTCGATTAGTCAGTCGTATGATGCAAGAACGCGTGGATTTTGTGCGAATTTTTCTCATTTCACCTTTGCTCTACCGCGATAAGAAGAGAACGTATTTTCCGATGACGGCGGCTTATTTTTGCACGCGTGGTATGCAACTGATTCTAAACATAAATCTTAAACGCGCGCCTATGCCAACTTTGTGGTTTATTCTTATCACTCTAGTCACGTGAACGATCAGTAACGACATATATCATACACTTGTTATCGCTATGTTTAGAAATTTTTCCTCTATAAATTTACGCGACAAATTTCGAGTCAGTTTTTTCTCCGCGCAATTTGAAACCAGTTTTTTTCTGTATAATATAACACCATCGTTTATCGCAATTTTCCTAAAATTTTCAAATATTTTTTGATAATAACTTAAAGCACATTATTAAAATACCTTATTAAAACAAAATCCTTTCTTGAATTTGACTATCAGATACTTGCTGCCGGCTATTAGAGGTTTTGAATTGTAATTAACTGTTTTAAAACATAACCAAAACTCACGAAACACTCGACCGATGTAATCTCAAAATGCAACAAATTTTTCGCATCCGTATTCGATTTCAAAATCTTCCCGAATCATTGTAGTATTATTCCTTTTCTAATATGCGAACCGTTGACGACTGTGTCTGTATTAGGGGGAATCAGCCAGACAATCAAGCTACGTCTGATGTAGTACGAACCGCCGATATACTCGTGCCAAGTCTCAGCTGAGATCGTCTGAGCCAATGAGATCGCGTCGTGGCTCTCGCCACCTGAAACCGGCGAATAGTGACAGACGAAACCGGCCAGACGCGCCACGCGTTCCGCTCTTCCGACACGTATCGACCGCACGCTTGTGCCTATTAACCGTACTGAACCACTATTTACAGCTGAGCTTAAAGGTGAACATCTCTTGGCATAGAGATTTGAAAAAATTTTTATTCTTATTGATATTCGAACAAAAATAAAATAAACGATTGTGTAAGCTACATTTAACACACATCTAAATAAATAATTACATATCTAAATAAATCATCTGAATCGCGCGAGTATATATCAATCGAAAGTTGATAACGCGACATGCATATTTTTCATTTTATTTGCTCCGTAACGTGAACCCGAGGGTAATCGTTCACGCGAGTTGCACGGGTGATCAAAGTGCTTGCTGACCCCAACATCAGGCGTGCATCATACGATGCGTCATTCGGCGTGATTCCCACGCACACGGCGACACATATACCTACACGCGGCGCTATTTCTCGCTCTTTATATAATGCTCTTCTATTAGTGACCAAAGTCACATAATGAATGCAAGCACTCGTTACGAGTAAAATTGCATTGATCATAACATTTTAATAAGTCACCTTGCATCTTGCGACATATTATTTGCTTCTTTCCTTATGACAATTCCTGAATATAATTATAGAAATGTTTACAAATTTTTCGATATATTACATGATAAAATGAATACTTTTATGGACAAATATTTCCGCAAGTGCTCTTTGCGTAGCTAGTCTTTTAATTCCAACTTTCGCTTTTAGAGTAATCTAAAAGAAGTAAAGACAAGCGTCAAGTGAAACCACGTGCGCAAGTTGTGTATATATGTAATCGCCGCGCCGGCAATGCTATCGTATTGGTCCACGCGACTCGTATGATCGCGTGTTCATTCATTCTAGTTTGCATCCTTGTTACGCAAACACTGATACGGAACATCAAATGTATGAGCAATATAAGCACTAAATATATTTTTCGAATTTTTCAAAATTGAGTTACGTTGGTTATTTATACAAATGTTAACAAAATTATATAAAATTTAAATTAATTAAATTAAAATTATAGAGAAAAGATTCAGTATATTCTATAGTGAAACTTTAAAAATTTTTAATTAAAAGATTATGAAAATTCGTGAAAAACGTATAGTTAAGCAGACACACACTTTGAGTGACAAAAGTCAAATTGTCAATTTTAAAATAATCAATTGCAATTGGCAAATGGCATGTATTGTAAATGTAAATTAAACAAATAAATAGAAATTATACATTACACTAAATAAATAAAAAATAATATATTTTTTTAATATAATTGAAAAAAAAGTTGAATTTTTGTTAAATTTAACAGTCTAGAGTTTGAACAGTTTGAATTTATAAATATCTGAACCGTGTGTTTTTGAAAAAAAAAGTAATCTATTTAATAACAAGAATGTTTTGTAATATAATGCATGAGGCCATATCGGGTGACATCGCATGTCTAAAGATGTCTAGCTGTAATAAAAAAAATCACGCGTTTTAATTGTGGCTCGTCTTGTTATATCTCACTTTCTCGTACGTGCGCATTAACTTAAGTCGCTCAATCTGAACAGCAGGCTGGTGATCACGCACTTGCATTGTGGCACGAGGAAGGATACGTATATACATCATCCTATCTTCGTCGATAAAGCGATAAATCCGCACATATTCATTCGACAGAAATACTGAAATGTTTACTTACTTTACTTCAATTTATTTCGTAAATATGCCGCTTCTACTCTTTTTACTGAAAAATTCCATCTCTAAAGATAATTGTTTCAATAAGTAACAAATTCGTAATCTTTGAAAGCATAACAATAAGTATATCATTTCTATACGTTCATATTTGTATATATGCAAATTTCTTCGAAATTTAAAATCTGGTTTTAGAATAAAAACAAAATTTCAAGTTTTGCTTCTAAAATAGTTTTTTACTCAAAAGAGTTTAAGCAGTCCTTTGTCAATAAATGCATATTGTTTTAAGTAGAATTACTTCAAAAGAGTTCATATTATACAGTAATTAAATTACTTTTACAATTGATATTTAAATTATATTCCAGCATTGATCGAATGAAAAGAGCAAGATCAAAACTTATTTGAATAACAAATAGAATTGTCACTTACATTTACATTAAAGTGACTCTGCAGAAGATAGCAGAAATAAAGATAAAATGAAAAAAATTAGAATTACTAAATACTCAATATACATATAACACGTATCAATTTGCAAGTTAAAAGTAATTTATATTTATGATTAACCTTTCGCAGACAAAAGAGGATTGGTCTTAAAATTGTTATGCTGAAAAAGCAACGGGAGGGAGTTGATCCCAAAAACGTATCCCTAATATTAAATGAAGGTACCAATAGTTTACCACATTATTACATTTAGTTTGCTTTTAGATACGATAGAGTAAACATCGAAAATTTCCTCATCAAATTAACTAATATTTTCTGTCGTGAATTTGTGTCTATTAATATTTTAAAATCTGTGAAAAAAAATTCATTCTCAAATTTATGTAAAATTGGAACGATTTTAAGAGAATAATTGCAAGTAAGTAAAAGTTTATTCCACGTTTTTTATTGAAAAAATTGAAAGAATATTCTTCATGAAAATGTATACAAATATACAAAATTTTTAGCTATGAAATTGAAAAATTAACAAGTTACAATTAATAAATATTATAATAACAAAAGTTTACGCTATTTTATTATTTGTTATTTTTTCTTTTTTTAAATTATGAATAGTTGATCAATTTTGTTTATCCATGGACTTTTAACAGATTTTTTCAATATACTGAAAAAAACTAATTTTATAATCAAAATATTAATCAATAGAACACTAAATTTATTTATTTTTTGCGGGCGTCTTTAGAAAGTAAGAGAATGATTAGTGGTTTGATTTTGATATTACTTATATCTATACTTATATCACATCAGCTCTTAAATCATCCGAGAAATATGAATATACACTTTCGCCGACGACATTATAACATTGCCAGTTGAATGTAACTCTTGCACAAGACTGGAAATCACCCGCTAATATTGTACATTCACATAACGTAGCAACTTTTTAAACGCGGATGACTGAGTACTAATAAACACGTCGAGCGTATTTCTGTTCAAATTAAGCCAATACAAGCAAGCTTGCGCTAACAATTTTAACAAATCAGGATAATAACTTTGGAGCAATAATCTCTTCAATAAATATTTTTATCTTTTCGAAAAATTTAAGATACTACTTTTTGTGGAAAAAAATACAAAATAAAAATTAAATTATTATTTCCATAAATCGGGTAATCTAATTTTAGATTTTCATGGTTTTTACAAGATATTTGTAGTTCAAAATTCAACGTAAGAAAAGATTATTCAAAACTAAGAAAAGAATCTATAAGAATTTTATTGAAAGAAAAAATGACGTTAACGTAATTGCAATAAAATAATTCAGAACCATAACTCTTTGTTGTATAACATAATCTATTTCTTTGTTAAAGATTAGATTATATGAGTAAAAAAGAAAAAGTGAGAATAAACAAAGATCAGATTGTTTCTTTAAACTTGATACGTCATGCTAGTTTGAATACTTTTTAATGTTTTATTACAATAAATAATATTGATATCGCGTCAACGATATTGAACGCATCCAGCGATTATGCAGACAATTAGCTTCCCAACCCGATAAATGGTCGGTCTTTATGGAGAGCGTGCAACAGGAAACACTTATTTGCGTTGAAGAGAAACTACATGATGGAATTATTTTACGAATATAGTTACACTATTCCTCGCGATGCGCGACGAAGCGTTTTCGAACGTTATCGAAGAGCGTTGTCGAACGTTATCGAAGAGCACCAAACCGTTTTACAGCATAATTAGCGAATATTTACGAAATAATTGACCTGATAACATATCTATTAAAAACTTACCTCTTTTCATAAAAGATAAAAAAAGATACGCGTTTGTCGAAACGTATACAAAACAGTGTTGTTTTAATTAATAAATAAAAAAAAACATTAAAGTAAGAATTGTATTAAATGAAATAATTTCCTACAATTTTTCTACAAAAGATACAATATCAGGAACTAACTAAATTAACTAATAATAAAAAATTGCACACATACAATTTAATTTTTTTACCTTGCTTTTTGTGATTAGAAATATTATATTTAATAATATATTAAATTTTATAAACAAATTTTTAAACAGAAATTAAAATATACAAAACTAGTTTTAAATATATATTTTGTTTTTACACAAATAAAAATGCTATCTGCAATAAAATGCTAAATGTACACGATAACGGTATATTTCTTGGTAGAAAATAACGTTCACATCGGTTCACCGAATACGCAATAATTGACTGAGTTATCTATAAATAATATTTTCCGATATTTCTAACGTACCATCTGGAGAATTAAATTCGCATTTTTCTCATTATATAGCGTTACGCGTTCGGCATTCCATCATTGAGAATTGGATGCTACAGTGCTAAAGTTAAAGATAATTCGGCAGTCACACGTTGTTGAAATTGTTGAAAAAAGTTATGTATCATGATAAAAATGTAAAATAAATGTTTCGTAGAATTGGATTATATAAGGATTACATAAAAAGTAACACGCAAAAGTTATTGGTTAATTTGCATAGTATAATGAACTAAAGAAGAAAACATACGTGACAAAGCAAAACTATAATTCGTTATTATAAAATCTCTCGAGTCGTAAAATATTCGATAATATAATGAATTTTCTCGAATCATGAAATAATATTCTCCGGATAATGAATCTAAATTTATGCTCTTTTGATAACGTCACATCTTCGTGGTCTGGGCTAGCTTCTATAACTTTACACCTAGTTAGATGAGAAACGCTCACGTACTTCACCCAAGGATAT